TTTTATAAACATTCTTTATGAATAAAGTTTGGGAATACCAATGACCAGATTTTACTTAAATTTTTTATATTATTAATGTTTGTCTCATTGTGTACACTCATAATGCACAAATGACATAGGAACTGCGATGATATTAAATTAGCTAATTAAAATTAATTAGAGCTCATGTTGATGTCGTCATATCATTTCTAGATTGGTCAATTCTACTAGTCCATTGGATTTATAAAAAATTATATTTAAAAAATGTTTATAACATTCCAAGCTTTATGCCTATCATTTTTTAAAATACAATCATTGATTCAGAACTAGTTCTCATTATTATGCATACACAGTGCCCTTGAATGACATACCAAGGAAGATATTTTGGAGAAAAAACAGAATGTACAATATGGACACTGAAGAATTTCTAACATTTGTGCATTAAATATTTAAATACTCACTTTTACAGGATTAACCTGAATACAACTATAGTGTCACAAGGTCAGCACAAGATCAGGTCAAATATTAACCCAAAACTCCCAATAATATTCAACATTCTCAACCTAGGACTAACTAGTGTGAGTGTAGGAATGTGCGGTACCTGAAATTGTTGTTGTGTGTCAAGTCCTAGCAGTCCATCGTGAAGTTGGTCACCCCTGTGAATAACATATAGTCAGCCACTGAGATTCATGAATTGGAGTGTAGACCTTCACAACTGTATCACTAGATTTCTTAGGCTATATACAGCTAGTGCAGGGATCCATTCACCAGATTTCAGGGTCACTCAAAACATGTACCCTCTTTGCTGGGCAAAATCTTGTTGCTATGCATTATATGGAGCCCTTAGATTGTACATAGCTATGGTAACCACTGTCTTTTAAAGGTCATGAACTTAATTCTATGTCTGACATATATATCATTATTTAATTGTTTTCAGTATATCCGGGTATTTGGCATCAAACCATTTGGAGAAGCTTTACATGATGCATTCTCTGTCTTCATTGATGACAGAGATGTTGGTATACCAATATTAACACATATATATTTACTACTTGGTTTCTCATTACCTGTTTGGCTGTATCCATTACAGCATGATCAAGGTATGATATACAATGAGCGTTTCCTTAATAATTGTTTATTTTTAAAAACTGCACTTTATCTAATTACCTAATTTATTGGTGAAACCTGTGCATCTTAACATTTAACATTACTTAAGTTCAATAAAATTGACAACATTTGCACATTTATTTAGTTTTTAGATTTATTTCTCCATAAATGACTGAACTTCATGGAATTAATTTAATTCTATTCAGTTAATTATTATTTACCAAATCCCTCCCTTCAGGGTGGATAAATAACTATGATTGTGACACAAATAAATTATGAGTCACAACTTGCAACTGCAAGTCTATTAGTGCTTTTTTTTTTGACTCCCGTGTGCGAAGCACAAAAAGGGAGTCTTTGCAGTTAGTGTGTCTGTATGTGTGTGTGTGTGTGTGTGTGTCCGTCTGTTCCACTGATATCTCAAGAACCATACATCAGTTTTTGATGAAACTTGGTGCATAGATGCTCTGGGTCAATACGCAGATGTGATTAGTTTTGGTAAAAATCCATGCATATTAATTACCTAATTTGCATGATAATTAGCTGATTTTAGCTGTTCCATGACTGTT